AATGATGAAAAACATGTAAACACATTGAACAATCAATGAAAAATAATTAAACACATCTTGAAAATAATGAAGAATCATTGAAAAAATAATGAACAACATCTTCAAAATAATGAAACATCAATGAAAACCATCTTTAAAATAAAAAAACATTGAACAATAATGAAAAACATCTTCGAAATACTGAAAAATCACTGAATGCCGTCCCGGATTTTTTAAAAGGGGTTTCGGGACTAAATAAACAAGGTTAGAATGCCTCCCGGATTTCTCACGCGGTACACGTTTTTTTTTGAAATCCATGTCTTTCCACCAAAGTGACATTATAACTTTCAGTTGTACCATATAATTGGAAAAAACAATGAAAAATAATGAAGCACATCGTCAAAATAACGAAAACACAATGAAAAATAATGGATCTACCCATGATCAATTAAAAAATGTCACAATATGCAGAAAAAATGCAATATCGTCATCCGCCGATCCAAGAACACCTCGTTTACTCACATCTGATATGTATGTACATGGTTGTAATTGTACATACATACAGCGCATATATGTGTGCATAATGCCGTTTTTGGAGGTTACCATTTTAATCAACATTTCATTATCGTGGAGAATGCCGTGGGAAAATCTCCGACGGGCATTCTAACCCTATTTATTTAGTCCTGAAACCCCTAAAACTCCAATTTTTTTGACGAATTTTTGACTGTCCCGTGTCTTCCATGTATATGGTACTGCAAATATGTAGAATACGCATGTAAATTGCCAAAAAAAACCACCCAAAACATGATGAAAAAGAATGAAACAAATTCAAAAACACTAAAAAATCAATGAACAACATGTAATTAACAACATTGAAAAATCAACGAAAAATAATGAAACACATCTTGAAAATAATGAAAAATCATTGAAAAATAATGAACTAACATCCTCAAAATAATTAGAATCAATGAACACCATCTTCAAAATAAAAAAACACTGAACAATAATGAACAACATCTTCAAAATACTGAAAAATCACCGAATGCCGTCCCGGATTTTTTAAGGGGGTTCAGGACTAAATAAATAAGGTTAGAATGCCTCCCGGATTTCTCATAATCCATGTCTTTCCACCAGGGTGGCAATATAACTTTCGGTTGTACCATATAATTAGGAAAAAAACAATGAAAAATAATGAAACACATCGTCAAAATAACGAAAAAACAATGAAAAATAATGGATCTACCCATGATCAATAAAAAATGTCACAATATGCAGAAAAAATGCAATATCGTCATCCGCCGATCCAAGAACACCTCGTTTACTCACATCTGATATGTATATGTACATGATTGTAAATGTACATACGTACAGCGCATATATGTGTGTACAAGGCCGTTTTCGGAGGTTACCATCCTGTTTAATCAACATTTCATTATCCTGGGGAATACCGTGGGAAAATCCGCGACGGGCATTCTAACCCTATTTATTTAGTCCTGAAACCCCTAAAACTCCAAAATGTTTGACGCATTTTTCGACCGTTCCGTGTCTTCCATGCATATGGTACTGCAAATATGCAGAATATGCATGTAAATTGCAAACAAATCTTTCCATGAACAATAAACAATGTCATAATATGCAGAACAAATGCAATATCGTATTATAAATGTGTAGAATATGCAGGTATTCGCCAAAAAAACATGCTCATGATCAGCAAAAAAAATATATGACCACTAAAATTGACAGAATATGCAGAAAACAGGCAATATCGTCATCTGCCGATCCAAGAACGCCTCGTTTACTCACATCTGATATGTATGTGCATGATTGTAAATGTACATATATGTAGTATATACAGCGCATATATATATATATATGTGGCAGGGACCTTCTGGTATAATATGACCGTACCCCTTGCCTCTGCTGATACAGCTATTTGCCTTCCATTGGGGCCCTTCATGAAATATTCGGAATCTCTCCAGCCACTCCAGGCCAGCTTTTTTCCATGCCCGACTCAAGCCGCTCTCAGCCTCAAGTTCTATGCCCAGCTAACCTTAGGCATCCCAGCCACACACGCTTTGGCCTGCACGGCCCTTTGAAACCGAATTTTCAGCACCTTGTTCTCTTCATCCAAAAAACGACCTTCGATGGTGCCTGAGAGTCTGGCCGCAGAATCAGAATCGAAACCGAATCAAATAGTAATCCTCATTCAATTTTGGTCAAAATAAGCTTTAAAAACAGGTCTCCGCAATTGAGATGCATCGAAAACACATCAGACACTGAATACCACCATAATTTGTAACCCAATTACAACCAAGACTTCTCAACGCCCGTAATGCAAATAACACCTCAAGATTCCACGTTACTTGCCCAAAGAAGAACCTCTATGTGTTGGAACCAGACATTGTGAAGTCAGACCTAAAAACACTGAACTGTGTCCAATTTTGATTGGACAAGAAGTTTCTCCAAGCCACCCCAAAATTCCAGTTGCTTGACCAGCTCCTCCATCATCTCTTTGCTCTCGCATGGGATAGTCACTTGACACCGATGTTCTGATTGTTCCTGGGGGAATGAGGATATCAACTAGAATTTATAGCGGGTTTACCAATAGATCCCCGTTGCTTGTGCCTTTTAGTCTCATGCCTCGATTTTAGCCAGCTAAAACTCCGAACCTACCCCAAAACAAGGCTGGATAAAATTTGGGCATGAGGTCCTGCATAGGCGAAAATTCGGGCTCGAGACCAAAAAATTATACCACCCCACTTGGTTTGTAGAGAGATATCAGGCAGATAAAATCCAAGGGTTTGAGGTCTATTCGGCCGAGTCAATTTTTGAAAAATGTGAGATCTTTGCAGGTTATGATCCACAATGATCTTCATGATGCTTGGATATGCTCATCGAAAAAAAAGTTTCCCAGCTCATCCAAATCTTCCAAAAGCCGCAGATTCAGAATGATTCAGAAATTCATTTATACCTGTTGAAGTTTCCAGGAAGGGCCTAGGCAAGCACTTGCTGAAACATCCGAAAAGAAAAAGCTTAGACCTTGGGATTTCAACTCTGCGCATCTGTTTTCACGAACCCAGATTTGTTTCTTCAAATCACTTCCGCAAAACTATAGAATGTAATTGGCACAAATAGGGGACAAATCTTTACATTCTTTACAATCTTTACATCTCAAACCTTATCTAACCTTGGAAATGGGGAACCTTTTGGACCATATAATCTCAGACTCGTGGATTTTATATGATTTTATCTGGTGTTGATTTCTTGACATCCAATCTATCATCATTGATATCCCATAGACTGTTATCTTGTTATATAAAATGTTTAATCTTTAGGATCTTTATATCCCAAATCTTTTCTGACCTTGGACATGGGGAACCTTTTGGACCATACAATCTCAGGCTCATGGATTCTATCTGGGGTCGATTTCTTAATATCATATCTATATGATCTATCATTTTTGATATCCCATAGGCTGTCATGTTTGTTTTACAAAATATTGATATTTTTTAGGATCTTTACATCTCAAACCTTATCTGACCTTAGAAATGAGGAACCTTTTGGACCATAGAATCTCAGACCCGTGGGTTTTATCTGGGGTTGATTTCTTGATATCAGACCCTGCTTGAACTGTTTCATGTACCAAAATCCCTCCTGGATAAAATTCCGTGGGACTGACAGTCAAGAGCATGTAGAATTTTTATATTTGAGAGTAAAGGTATCCGGCGAATAAAATTCCGATACAACCCCAAAATATAAGAAACAGCTACTGGGATAAAAATTTGGTACAAGATACTCAAGGTACCCCCTGGCTATTTTTTTGGGCTGGACCCCCGGGTTCTCAGCCAGGGGTAAGCATCGGGGATCCAATAGAAGCCATGTGCTGCAACACAAGAAACATCGTGAATGTGACAAAGAAATCACGAAATCACTGCTGCACGTGCACTCTGGCGGACAAGCATCTTTCTTCCCGTATGGTCCCCATCGGTCCCTCAAGTTTCAAACAACATTCTTGCAAGAGGGCTAACCAAATATGGGAAAATAGCGTTTGCAACGCGCAATGTTCGATATAGTCATCTTTACAATATATCATATATCCAAAATAGTTGATTTTTTTTTGCTCAATGTCGCCCACCGGCGGACAAGACATGAACACGCCTTTCTACCAGTGGAGAACGCTCAAAACAAAGTGGCAACGACATCCACAAGAATTGCAATCGAGGCGCCACTTGCCCCACCCCCTTGACCAGGGGCGCCAGTGGTGCTCCCATGCCGACTCGTCTCCCTGAGGAGGCTATGCCATGACATGAACCCGCTGGAAAATATTGTTTCAGACTATTCCCCGTGAAAACTTAGTAAGGCCCGGGCAAGCCGGGTGACGGAAGTTTCGAAAGACAAAAGTAAGAAGTCTATAAAGAAAAGGGATAACCTATAAGAGCGACTCCTGGCCGCCTGGTTGTCACGGCCGTTGCCTGCGTGATCTCTTGGAACTCTTTCTCCTTGATATTTTTTTCTCGACAGTCTTGTCTGATAATGCCGCACTTTCTCTTGATCCGGTTTGCCCTTGACATCCCTGAATCTTGACAGCCCTTCTTGTTGACAGCCCTCAAGCCCGAGACTTGACACACTCTTCTCACATCACAACCAGTGCGGAGACATAAGAAGAACCAGGCCAACATCATCATACCGCCTCATGTCCTGCTTTCCGAAGTTGACCATGGTCTTCCAGCTAGGAAAAATACTAAGAGAAGGGTTCATGTTTCAGGTTTACCTGTGCTACTCAAAGAAACCTTCTGACCCCCGTGCCCTTCCAAATTTCTTGCCTTGAGAAGAGTTTGAGAGATCGAAGGCCGCAAGAACAAGCCTGACGGAGTAGCTTGATGTTCTGAAAATGCTTTTAATACAATCGGAACATGTTGTCTTTGACAAGTCCCACAGCGTCATCTGGCAGGGCGCGCGCCGACTTGAACCTTTTTCTGCGCAGAGATCGGTCAAGTGCAAGCATCCAATAACTCAAAGGCCTAGGCTTTCAAACCTCCTTGCCTTTTTTTGCCCATGATACGGCAAGTGGACACTCTTACTCTGTTAAAGGGAGTCCTGCGCACTTTCTGCGGGAGGACGTGCGTGGCTGGCTTTTTTGCGCAATGCCTCATGGCCGCTGGTCTTTTGATATTGGCAGCCGGTTTTTTGGAAGCATGCGCCTTGACTAATGATGCTTCTTGCTGCCGTCTCGCATTGAGAGGCAAATGGGCCTTGCCACTCTGTCCGGCAAATTTGCTCCAGGGCTTTCGTCGATTCCAGGCAGAAGAGACAACAGATCTAGCCAGCACCAGGCCCGACGGAATTTGCCGCAAAGTTGGTCTGTACATGCCCGCATGGTGGGTCATCAGTTTGGACAGGTGAAGCACCCGCAGTTTGATTTCCAATGTGCTCTTATGCATCTGCTGCGTCTCTCGGAACCAAGCTCGTACTTCAGCATGCAGTGCCTCGTTGGAAGTGGTACCAGCAGGAAGTAATACAACTCGATCTGGCCGCATACTATGGCGCGCCCGGATGTTGTTGAAATACCATTGCATCCTCGCAGGCACGCAGGCAGTGTACAGCACTTGCCGTCCAGACCGGTTCGGACCGGGAATGATTTTGTCTACATCGTCCGGAAAACATCGGACAAATGCTGCCATGGCCTCAATGCAATCCCGTTCGCATTGCCAAGGCTTCGCAGCATCCAGGCTGTCAAGGAGAGATTCTGCTTTGGCCTTTCCCATTCCTCCACTCAGAATCTGTTCTCGACGTGTCTTGGTGATGTGATCGAACGAAACATCCTGAATGCCGTTGAAAGGCCTGGAGTTGTAGGCTGACATGTTCTTAAAGTCCACGGCATTAAACTTTTGCATAATTGTTCTCAACATGGTTGACGCCTTTGTTCTTCTTCTGTACGTCCCATACTCAAAAGTCATGCATAGGTGGACAGGGTCCAAGCATAGCAGCTCCAGCTTTGGCATGACATTGCGCAATGTCGACAACAAATGCGCAGAAGGATCATCCGTGCACACAATCCGTGTTTGCCGGAGTCCATCTTCAGGCAACGACTCAGCAATGCGCTCGGCAATGGCGGGTGCCTCCTCATTTGGCGTTGGAGCCATGAGCAGTACACAGCCGGTTCGCCCACGGACTGTCAGAACCTGCCAGGCAGATGGTTTCTGAGAATGAAGCAAACAAATTTAGTTTAAACTTGACACCTTTGGCTTTTGTCTAAAAGGAGGCTAACAAACAGCCCGGGCACCTTGCGAAAGCAATCTTTCCCCGTGAAAGCAGCGCTGGCTCGTTCCTGCGGCCCTGCTCTGTAGGAACTCTGGCCGAGAATGGAGAGGCAACACTTCAGGGTTGCATCCACACTGACGGATTCAAATTCCGTATGGTGAACCGCCTCTGCCATAGATTGGGCGAACAGCTGGTTCACGGCGTCGGAGTAGAAGATGTCCTCCACGAGCGGCCACCAGTGTCGAACATGCTGAGGCAAGAGGCCCGTGAGCTTGCTGCCACTTGCTGCGAGTCTCAAAGCCAACCGGCTAGCCGCCTTAGAATCAACAGGGGTTATCGCTTGTAACAAAAACAGTCAATGTCACAATTTAAAGGAGCAACAAAGAGTGCATCCAAGGGATACATGTCTACAAGCTTCAGTCGAGATGCTTGCTTCATTTTTGCATTGCTAACCATCATCTCTTGGAAAAGCATATCTGCAAATCCATGCGTGTAATACAAGTTCTTGGCTCGACGGTACACTGTTTCGTTCTCAGCAACGTGTTGCAAGCTTTTGTACACGGGGCCCTTCTCCGTCAAGACCAAGCGTAATCGACGATCAAGATGATTGATGCTTCCATCCCCATTCCCAATTGATGTTCGCAACACGGCGGCGCTCCTGCGGAGGTAGCGAGCACTTGGCTGTATATTGCGGAGCTGGTCATCGTCAAACAAAGCCTGAATGACTCTGACTTGCTTGGTGCCACTGCAACAGAATTGTCGTTTCGTTGTATGATACTTTTGCACATGCTCCATCACACGAGAAGGTCGAGGGAATTGCCGGAACGGACAGAACGGACAACGGTGCATACTGCCTTCATGCACAGTCTCAGTGCTATCTAGGACTTCACCTCTTTCTTCTGCGAGCAACGCCAGCAACTCTTCGCCCACCTGCACTATTGATTCATCAACATGTGATCCGGCCATGCCTTCATCATCAGAATTCTCCAGCAATCCTTCGCACTCACACAACATCTCCAACTCAGCACCGCCAGATAGATCGAAGCCGGCCTGCAGTTCCAGAAGAACTTCAGATTCTTGCCGGGGTTTTTCGCCTGCTTTCAGCATGCGAAATGTCACTAGGGAGGCATAATCAATTGACTCCTCAGCACATGCCTTGAAAGCATCTGCTGATAGCGCATATACTGTGTCCCGGACTAACACTTTGCAAGTTTCTTCGGCCATTACACATCCAAGGACGAGCGGAGATCCATTGTGCTCACAATGGAGTAGGTACTTCCCCGTCTTCTCAGCACAGAAACCAATGTCTACTGAGAAGGCAACATCTGCAGCTTTGAAACATTCTTTATATGAACGATGTGTTTGACCTCCTTCAATGTTTGCCTTAACTTATGTTCCTGTAGCCATGCGTCCAATGGTGACCAGAGGTCTGCAATGTAGGCCAGGCATGTAAGAATGCCATTTGCAGAGTAGTCGAAGCTGGAAGAAAGTGACAGAGTATCGCAAACACGTCCATCCCTTCCCAACAGCTCCGCGAGAAGCAGGTGCTTCTTCTGCTTCACAACCACCTGAAACCCAGTCTCTTTGGCAATCCACTCCGAAGACTCTTGACACATTGAAGCCGTGTCAAGCGCTCGACCCTGAATTCGGCAACCGTCGAAGTGAAGGGATAAATGCACGAGATCTTGCGTCATGAGGAATTGCACCCAGCTAGACAAAACTAGATCTTCAACAGCTTGGTACAAGTATGCTATCATGGAGTTGTCTGGCGATGGCTTGCTTCTGTCTGCATCACAGTGGCTGTAGAGATCGGGAAAATTTGAAATTGCAAGCCATTTAATCCAGATGGCAGCTTTCCGAAGCCCAACAATTACATCATGTTCCGACAGACGGCTAGGCGGACCGCCACCGTTTATGACTTCAAGCAAAACTTTCTTCCCTTCCGCAGCTGGCAAACCTAGCTCCTTGATCACATCACTGCGTGCCTCAGCGCATCTTTTCAATGCTTTTGCGGCATCATCCGGCATCTTGAACACAGGATCCAATTTATGGATGAGCTGTGACATCAACGTGAAAAAGGCATTTTCAATGTCCTTGGCTTCCACTTTTACAAAGCTAACAAAGGTTTAACTTTCAGGGGTAAGAATCATAAGCAAGAGAAACCCAGGAGAAAAACAATGCGAAAGCTTCCTTTCCAATCCAAGAAGCTAAGTCAATAGATTGAGGGCACAAGAACCTGAGAAGTTTCCGAGAGCATTGCTGTGCTCCTGGCTGACAAGCATACCTTCGTCCACGGATCAAATCTGAGCCTTGTCTGTACTTTGTCTTGCTATGTCGCAATTGCTGCTTCCCTGTGCATCTGTGACTGCTAGCCTGCCCTTCCAGGTCACCAGCCTCACCACCAGCAGCAGCGAGGAGCTTCCCAATCAACTGCTCGTTGGCTTCCAACTTACGCCTCCTTTCGACCAACGCATCGTGTCTGAGCTTGACCTCAGACGTTAACTTTCCGGAGCCTTTCCTCTTCAATGCAGCAATGCTGGCATCCAAGAATGCTATCATAGTGACGACATTGTGTTCTCTGGCAAGATGTTTGGAAGCAAAGTCCCGCAAGCAACTTGTGTGCCACATTTCGGGGAATACTAGTGCCGTGTCGTTTGAGCTTTTCAGATCAAAGACATCCTGCAAACTGCCTTGCCCCAGGACGCATGGAACAATGATCTGCTTTCCTTTGCCGCGCTTTCTTGCTATTTGCTTTACCAATAAATGCTCTTGTAGCTGTGTCAACATGCTCTCTTTGTCTAAATTGGGTGCATTCGAAGGCAGAGACATGGTCTTGAACTGTTGCAATGTGAACATGAAGAACCCCTTTGAAAGACATTCCTCCACAATGCGGCGGGCCACTGCTTCAGAACCTGTTTTTACACTTTCTGCTTGATCCTGGCTTAGTTGATCATCCACAGGGCCTAGCCCAGGAGCAGCGATCTCGGCACGCTGACACGGTGGGAGCCCACAAGCGATTCGCATTTTGTCCTCTGTCAATCCCTGATCACCACCCAAATTGCAATATGATTCTATCATATGTATGCATTCAGCTCGTGAGTATGTATGTTCAAACGCGTGCTGCAGCTGCATGCTGCTGGCGATTGCTGGTCCTGAGACAAGGAACTCCTTCAAAGTTGGATCTTTTGGAAAGTACCCATCCAGCGCCGCATCTGTGTAATGCTCTTCCAAGTATTGCGGACATACAAATCGAGCGTGCGGACGCCAAAGGAAACTGCGCCGCAGGATTGATGGGAAGTTATGCTCAGATACACCCTTGAACTGCATCAGACGATTGACCTCCATCCTCTTCCATCCGGTAAGTTCAATCATGCGGGTGACATACCCGTACGGCCGCCTCCCAGCCATGCCATCTGCACTCATTGTCTTTTTGTACAAGTCTTCCCGCATTCGGCGTGAAGTTTCAGGCGCCTCCTGCGCTGTTAAGATAAAGCAGCCTGCAAATTGCTCAATCTGCTTCCGGAGCTCTTGCTCATCGTACCAAATATTAGGGTCAATGAATGCGTGATTGTGTCCATAAACCGCATTCAAGTGAGAACTGTATAAAGATTGGCCTACTCCACCGGGGCTCTCACCAATGAAGCATCGGTCAATATTCTCACCCCTTTTCGCGATGGCTTGGGCTGCCTGACAGCACAAAAAGACATCGAAGTTCCGCCAAAAGGTCTCGCGGAAAAACTTCTCCAAACGGCAGCTCGCAGCTTGGAGGACGGGATCCGGCAAAGAAGGCTTTAAGGCATGCGGGATCAATGTGTAGAGGTTGTTGTCGTGGCTTGGCTGCACAAATTCCACATTCTCTTCATTTGAATCATACACAACGCATATATCTTTGTACGCACAGCCAGCTTGCTTCTGGCAAGGCGTTTCACACCATTCAATCATGAGACCATATATCTTATCATCCATGACTTCCTTTTGCAGGGTTACGCTCAACTTGCTTAGGGCGATAGCAATGGATTGGGTCCACCCTCCTGCATCACCAGTTGCCGCCGCTTCTGGTTCCGCATCACCAACTTCATCAAATTGAGGCGCTCTGCGGCCGCGCGGAAGCTGCTTCATGAAGAGCGCGGCAGATATCCACTTGTCAAGTAGCACCTTTATATCTCCATTCGTATCTGCCCCCATGCCTTCTACCATTTGCACTATACTCTCCTGTGTTCGATCTACTGCTCCTTGGATGCTTCGAAAAAACCCTTCGACTTGAAGTATGAACTCTTTGATCCGGGCAACTGTTTGTTCCGGCGGGCTTCCGCGAAAGACTTGGAAAGCCCCGCAATCATGGTACAGAAAGCATTGTCCGTTGTGGACACGAAGGTAGCGGCCACCTTCCATCAGCCAGATCAAGTAAATATGTTCCCGGAGGTAGGCATCGCAGAGCCGCATGTGGGGCAAAACGCAAGCGCACGCCACCAAGCGCACAAGCTGCTCAGGCCATTGTGGCTTGCGAGCACGCACCTGCTTGATCATGTAGCTGCTCTGTTGCAAAAGGGAATGGCTCTGCTCAGGCTTTTTGATTGACGCCTGCTGCAGAGATGTATTTGCAGCAGCCCGCAAGCTGTCAAATTCTTTCTGAAACTTCGGCATGGACTGAGCAGCTCCAGGAAGCAAGCGGCGCTTCTTGCATTGTCTCAGATTTGCATCATCTACTTCTGGCAGTGGGTTTGCTCCATCATCCTCAAGAGCTTGACTTGCAAGTCCTTCAGGTTGCTGTGCTTCTTCCGGTCCCTCTGGCCCACCCCTCCCATCTCTCCTACTAGCCGCCTCCTCGGCTTTCGCCTGCTCATTCAGCCAATCCATTTCTTTCTCAAGTTGTTCCTCAAAATCTGATCCTCCAGACACATCAACAGCATGTGCTTTGTCCCGCCGCAAACTCATCACGACTTCAATCTCCTTGTCGAGACGCGGCACATGGTCGATGAAAGGCCGCAATTGTTGGTCGGGGTGGGTGCAAACCACTAGCATCATAGCCACCTCAAAGCCGTAGTATTTCTCCACAATATACCTGTAAATGTTCAGTTGGAGCCGGTAATGCCACCCAGCACAGTCCGGAACATGATCTAAAGGCGGTAGCATCGTCCACGGCGAAGAGAATTTCGATGCTAGGCTGGAGGTCCGCTTCCAGTCAATCAGTGCCAACTGCCCATTTGGGTTTTGTGCAGTGAGATCGATTGACCCAGCAATGTTCTCTTCCTCACCAAAAATAACCCATTCCGTGCGGAAGGCGCGCCACCCTTGCATGTCTTGTAAGAAGGTTTCAAGCATCGAGAATTCTGGACTTGTTTTTGGCACCACATATCCATTCACATGCGCTCCAAACCAAAAATGCATGTGGGTGCCTCGAAGAGCAGCATCAATTCGGTTGGCTTCCCACATGCGCTTGATTTCATGCGGGCCAAATACCAGACTCTGGACAATCTCTGGAAAGTTCGTCCGCAGGCTCTGGAGCCGGTTGGAGATCCATGTATCATTGCGGGGGGAGTCCAGGAGAGCAAGCACAAGGTCTGCATCAACTTGGCGGACGCGCTTCAATACAGTCTCTCCTAAGAATGGTCGCAAATAGCCTGCGCGAGGCCATCTGTCACCTGCCATCATATTGGAAATTACTTCGTCGGCATCGAATGGTCGTGCCAAGGCATGGATCAACCCAGTCACAGATCCATTGGTCTGCTTGCCACGGATGTAATACACGTGGCCTTCAGACTCGAACCGAACGTGACGGTCTCTGTCATGGGGGTGAAGCCATGCCAGAGTTGTGATGTCTACGCAGGGAGCAAAATGTTCGTGACGATAGGGAACCATAGCATCCACGCTGTCTCCCCGCAACGGCAACTCCATTCCAAGTCCATGCGACCATTGCACCAACTTCAGCATTTTGCGGGAACGGGCCACGCCCCTGTTCTCCAAGATTCGGCGGGTCACATCTTCTGTGCCACCTTGGCTCACATCTTCTGCGCCACCTTGCCTATCCTCAAAATTTGCGGGTCGTGCAAGTTCCTGCCGCAGGGCTGCTGACAGCAACAAAACGGGATTTCCTCTAGGCTGCTCTCTCTTGGGTTTGCGGTGGTTGTTGCTGAGCAAAAATCTTTGCAGAAGAACCCAACGATGACAGATGTTTGTCCCCATTGAACTCAATTTCTTTGGGATGGTCTGCGGCAAAGGTGTGGCCAGCACTGAGAAGAAGAGGACAGCAGTAGATAGCTGCCTCGCTCTAGAACGTGCGCTGGATGATGTGTTCCTTGTGCTAAGAATGTCCAATAAGGACATGTCCTGCAAAATTTCTGGCCAAAACCAGGTGATGAGGGCACCCTCCAGCTTCACGACTTCGCCCTTCTGCAGCAAATTCAAAAACGTGGAGGCAGCAAACAGCTTCACCTTCCACTGTTCCTTGCTTTGCGAGACATCAAATGGCACCGGCAAAATCCAAAACAATCTCGGGAATTTCTGCAATGTGGGCTGGAGAGGCTCCACATATAACTGAAACAATTGCAATTGATGCCATACCCGGGGCCGATCTGCAGGGAGCGGATTGCGAAACAAGTACAAGTGCAAAAGGCGCTCCGTTGGTGCGTTTGACCCGGCCCCTCCTTGGAAGTCAGCTTCATCGTGCAAGACATATTCACAGAGCAGCTTGCGCATGCACTTGCAAAGCTTTTCCAATGGCCTGCAAGTTGTATAGGCTGACAAGGTTCGCAAGTTTAAGAGAAAGAGCATGGTATACGACATGTCATGCCAACAGCCTTCCAAAAGGGCACCCTTAGTGTCCACTTCACGGCCCCAAAGTAGCGGGACATCTCCTTCCTCATTGGGAGTCAAAGGGTCAGCCCCTGCCATGATCAGCTGTTTCACGAAAGCCACGTTCTCGCTGATGGCAGCAAAATGTAAAGCGGTTTCGCCATGCAAATCCCTCACATGCACATCAGCCCTTCCAGCCAGCAAAACCTGCACAGTCATTGGCGAATGTGTGAGAACGGCAAAATGCAAGGAAGTCCGGCGGTCATTGCCAGCAATATTAGGGTCTGCCCATGCATTGAGGAGCAAAAATGCAGAATAGAAGAAGCCGGTTGAAGCTGCAGTCACCAATACTGGCTCTAAGCGGCGAGTGCGGTCGATCAAGCCCATGCAATCTGGCTCTTGGCCATTACTGAGGAGGTCGATCACTGTATTGTGGTTTTGCGCTTGGATGGCTTTTGATAAGGCAAGTCTGTGACAGTTGGTCCTGGGTTTAAGAATCACGTGCATAAGTGGCGGGGATCCAGCTCTGGCCCATGTCTGCGCAAATGGAACAACTTCATTGCCCACCAGAAAAACAACAGCGAAGGGAAGGTGCCCTAGATGCAAGGCAACCTGCTGCTTTAAGGTCAGGATGGTGTCGTCATCTGATACGAACAAGGCACAAACCGTCACTCCTGTGCAAGCCATCTGGAACGAGACAATTTCACTACCGCCTTCAACATCGTCGGCCAATGGGAACATGAAGCTTTGCTGTCACATGATCTTGCAAGTGTTCCACAAAGCAGAACGCCCACACAAATCCACTAGTTCCTCCGTGTGCCGCGCCAACACCTCAAACATGGGCAGCCTATACCAGCACTCATCCATGCAGACAGCTATGCATAGCCCAGGCGGGGCCAAGGAAAATCCAGAATCACCGGGGAAATGCTGGCTCAAAACATCTGCACCGAACCAGATCAAAACCTGGAGCGTGCCGAACTGTTGGCTGGAATCTGTGCACATGGTATGATGGATGGGCCGTAGGCCTTCATGGTCTGGCAGCTTTCGATCAGGGGCTGACCGGAGCACCTCCAATGCGCCTACTGGGTCTGTCTGGCTAGCGGCAATGTGAGATGCGGCCTGCAAGCATCCAGCTGGAATCGCGTTGCGATGAAAAATGGCGTGAATTAGGGCACTGTCCTGCAAGATACAATTTGGATTCTGCTCCCGCCCCAAAATTTCCACCTCAGATCCGCCCCGCGCATCTTGCCGCCAGTGTTTGCAAGCCCTTTCCCACTGCCTTTTGCTGACATTGTGGTCGCATGGGTTGGGGATGGCCTTCAAGCTGACACCGCCGCTGGCAATTTGGTGCCGATTCTGGCGCAGCAGCGTAATATACAAGCGCAATCTCTTGCTCACGCGGCTTTCCTCCACTGAGCCCACTTCGGATATCAAATTGCTACAGAACAAGCTGCGGGTGGATGACAGGCAGCTGTTCCATTCTGACTGAGACGTGTGGAGGAATGGACATGGGATGCGGGTCCACAATTCCGGCTTGGCTGTCAACAGCGCTATGTAGTCAGCACACAGCCCTTCAAAGGCAGCAATGCAACTTTCCAGGAAATCTGGGAAAAGCATGAAGATTGGCACTGAGACAGGCTTGGAGCCAACCAAGGATCTGGGACTGGAAAACTCACTGTCCAGGAAATTTGGCTGCTCAAACAACGTGCTAGTGCTAGATGCATCCGAAGTAGGTTGCGTTAGGGCTCCGCCCTGGAAATCGATGGGCGAGCAGGCATCAACCGCTCTGTCAGCCCGCAGGGGGATGACCTGGAAGATGGCCTCGAATGAGCTCGTATCGAACTTATTGGCGTCACAATCAATGCCGATGTGGCATCTGCACGACGTTTGCAACCGACAAGTGCCATCAGAAAAGGCCCGGAAGCCTTGGAAATGATTGCGGCGATACAGCACGTACTTCCCAGTTGGAAGCACCGACGGGGCTACCCTGAGCATAGTAATAATATACCTGATGCAGGGACGACAATTAAGCAAACCTGCATTGCTCGACTGAATAATCCCGACAACATGCTCCAATGGCCGCCAAGCTGCCCCAAAGGCTCCAACATTTTGGCTCCGTCAGACACGGCCCAGAATGGACCGGGGCCCGTATAAGGTACCTTGATACCAATGGAGCGGAAGGCGTCCACCAGGCAGGTGTCCTTGAAGGGCATTTCGACCGAAGCTTTTTTCCTGGGATTGCACTCATCTACGATCTTCCAACTACCCTTAATCCAATGATGTCCTTTTTGTGAGTGGTTGCTGTTACCGGGTTGATAATTGTTTGTGTTTATCAGCTTCCACAAAGTCCTGTCCAATATGCCAACACCGCCTGCGTTTACCTGTGTTTGTAGAATGGTGCGAACAAAGAACTTGAACAATGAACCTGAAAACAACATGCCATCACTGCAGCTACATAGCATCGGTAGCTTGAAGTCAGACAACTTGCCACGCGCTGGCTGCGCCTTCTCACGCGGACCTGAAGGGAGCCATGACATCGTCACATAGACGCTAACCGGAGCACTGACATGAAGGACCTTCTTTGCATCTAAGAGGCAATGGAGACGTTCTTGAGCAACAAGTTCTGCGTACTCATTGAAGATTGCGTCTGCGGCCTTGTCCATGCGCTTCAATCTCCGAGTCCGGGATTTGATGGCATTGACATGGACATTGGTCCAATACACGTCTTCGTAGCGACGTCGCCGCTGACGCTTGGTAATGCCCGGCCTCGAATGCGGAATTTTATCGACCACGTCGTATTTTGCACTTGCATGTGGCAATGTTTCTTTGTTCCATACATCACTGCAAAAAAGATACTCCCGCAATCTGCTGTATGCGGCTCCTTGCTGTGACCTCATGAAGACTGGCAAGCAGAAGCAGCTAAACTGTTGTTCCAAGCCTGGATGGCACTGTTTGAAGCTAAGTGGCAGGAGGGCATCCATGGCAAAGCACCTGCGTCGCAGACAATGTGTAGCAAACAAAGGTGAGCCACAAGGACAAGTCATGCATCCATCATATTGAAGCTATACTTGCTGCCAAGCTTCTTATCCGACTCATCGCAGCCTGTCCTGACACACTGGCGGATTGAATACTACTTGCTTCTTTGGTGTTTTTTAGTAGACAGAAGCTCTTGTGTTCTACTCAAGTTTTGCAAGCACCGTGTAAATTAGTTGGACCAAGGGACTTAGGGAGGCTGCTGTCATCCGCCTTCTTGCCAGGGCCCCTGGGTGGAGGACAGTTTGCTTGCCAATGGACCAGCATGAACCGCTGGAATTTCTACGTTTTTCCTCTCTACGTGCAGGCAAAGCGCCATCCATGAAACCTCCTGTAGAAGACAGGTCGCGCCAGGCGACGCCAAGAGTGAGAACAGGACGTTGGCAGCCGGGCCGTCGAACAGAGCCGGGAGGTAATTTTCTGGACGAGGCCATCACCTGCAACAAACAACACAGAATTCGAAGGTAAGGGCCACTCATAGGAAGAAACTTTGTTTACAAGTGTTATACAGGAACAAAATCTGTATGGCACAAAGCTAGGGCCACTGACACCAACGAGTATTCTGCCACAAGCCAGTCGTCGCACTCTTCTCGCAAGCAATCTCGCACTCCCAGCGCTTCCCAATGCAGAAACGCTTCCCTGAAGAAGCGCCACGGGCAGGCAAGCCCCAGGCAAGGCAGACAGAAGTTTGGCAGGCGGAAGGCATATCATATGCGTCCAAGGGACAGCGTCCTTGCTCACGGCATTCATGATCGCACTCGTGCTCCAGACGCTTCCGAATGGATTCCATAAAGTATCTGCCTGGATGGGTCTAGCAGTGCAGCACACACAGAACAAACACACACAAGCACCGTCAGCTTCGGGCAGCCCATGTTAATCCATGAGGTTCTAAACCAAGGGTCACCAAGACGCATGCTCGTCTTGCTTCCGGCGCAATCGATCAACCACTGCAACCATTAAATATTGGCCTGAGTGCGGCTGCTTGGGGCACTCAGGCAAGGACCATCGCCTATACCGCACATGAAGCAACGTCTAGTCATTTGCCGCTTTGAGACTTTGCTACCCGCTCACGTTTCTTAAGTTAATGACACCAGCCCGTCTCCACGCAATCCACATCTCCTCGCCATACCAGAGGCCCCCACCGTCCTTCACACAGCTTTCAAACTTAAAAGCAATTGTCACCTTGCACCCTATTTTGGCGAACCCGGAACAATGGCTATACAGTTCATGTTTTCAACATCATGAATCATGCCTCAGTAGCTGCCATCAAGAGATGCCATGTGCAAACAACAGGCCTTCAATGTGGCCTCGTTGGTTAAACTTCATGCTTTCGTCAGCACCTGGGCATGCAAGCGGTGGGAGCTGAACGAAAAAGGAACGGCACATCCCAGTCCATGACATAGACAGAATGTATCTTTACTTAGCAGCACCGATGTTTGCGGCCGAGGCACATCGGGATGGCTTACGACACATATGCAGCAACAATGCCGCGCCATGGTAGCACCCCAAGTTGCGCACACCCTCAGCTGCCAATCCGAGAGGATCAAAAGGCATCATGGCAACCCAAGTGTTGGAGGCGAAGTAAGCGAAGTTGCGACAAAACGCTAGAGGCGAAGTTGCTGCGGCGATGCGAGCGACAGCATTGCAGTCTTGCGGCGACATTGGTAGCTTTGTCCTTTTCCCACCTCTTATCTACCGAACTGTCTGTACTTACTACGCACCATGAGTTTTGCAAAGGCAATGGACTGCAGCCCCGCGATCTTGCCTGCAGCAGCTTATCTACCATATCATAGGGCGCTTGGTCACCGCCACCTGCCACCTGCAAAGCCGTTGCTGGCGACGCCATTCGCAACAATATTGCGTTTCCACCGTAAACGATGAGATGCATAGAGAATTGATGAAGCATTGCTTAGTAATTCGAGTCCACGCCCTGCATATCAGAAACCACAGGATTGGTCATTCAAAGAAAACAAATTGCTGACTCAGACTCGGCGCTGCTACTATGCAATTTCAACATGCGCTCTTCATGGCAAGTGTCCTTGTCTTTGGATGCTCAGCAGTGCTGCTCCACTACCACATGAAGTTCCAGGTGAACCCAAGGGTTAACCTGGAGGCTTCATGCTGTGCATTGTTCTGCTATGAGTATTTGCTTGCTCTCTATGGGAGGGATGCCCTTTTGTCTGTGATGCTGTGGCTCCTGACACACTGCTGGGCCTCAAGCTGCAGGACAACTCTGCTTGTGCACGCTTGCACTCAGCAGTGCTGCTCCACTACCACATAAAGTTCCAGGTGAACCCAAGGGTTGACCTGGAGGTTCATGCTGTGCATTGTTCTGCTATGAGTATTTGCTTGCTCTCTATGGGAGGGATGCCTTTTTGTCTGTGATGCTGTGGCTCCTGACACACTGCTGGGCCTCAAGCTGCAGGACAACTCTGCTTGTGCACGCTTGCACTCAGCAGTGCTGCTCCACTACCACATGAAGTTCCAGGTGAACCCAAGGGTTAACCTGGAGGCTTCATGCTGTGCATTGTTCTGCTATGAGTATTTGCTCGCTCTCTATGGGAGGGATGCCCTTTTGTCTGTGATGCTGTGGCTCCTGACACACTGCTGGGCCTCAAGCTGCAGGACAACTCTGCTTGTGCACGCTTGCACTC